ATATCTATAATGGTAGTTGATCTTCATAATTATAATCAGGTGGCACTGTGCAAAATTCTGACTTGGTATTTCAGTAAAATTTAAAAAGGGACTTTAACAGTTATCCAATACAACTTTCTTATTTTTCACTGGAGGAAGTGGAGGCCCAGAAAGGTTAAATAACTTGGTCAAGACCACTCAGCCTTGAGATCAAGAGAAACTGATCTTCTGACTCTCAGGCCAGGATCTTTTATTTTTTACATCACATCCAAGAAAAAGAGTAAATTATGTTCAACTTAATATTAATGTTTTTTCTGTTTAATTATATTTTAATACGTTGAAAGTGAGTATATGATCTTTGAATATTGTATGTGACCTGAGCAGAAATCCAGGGAAGCCTACACTATGGCTATATAAACCTCAGCAAGGGAAAGAAGCAATATTCTTTTTAGATGACTAGAGACCACTTGCTGGCATAATTGTGGGCTGGTAGAATGTGCCCAGCTCTAGTATTTGTGGTTTGAACTCTTTTTATTGTTTCTTACCTTTCCTGGGTTTTGTAGGCACCATCTTTCTTAATGGCATAAAATAAATATCTTAAAAAATATAGGATTTATGGATTCTTTCCAGGCCTGTGGCTTTCGTTATCACAGCCTTTTATTGATATGAATGGGCAGAATAAAGAACCATAAAAGGATTCATGCTTAGTAAAAATTGAGACAATAATAAACTGTCTACTAAATATTGAGACACTCTAGACTGCTTCCAGAGAAATACCTTCTATTATTCCATATTCTTCAAACCCAGTTATTAACCAAAATAAAGAATCTCAGTTGATGGGGAAGATGAAAATTATCAGGTTTAAGACATTAAGAATAGAATTGTCTCCTGTTTTTTCAAAAAAATTCATACTTTAATACATGAACTTTTTAATGAGGCTAGTCCTACTCTAATTTGTAATGCTATATTTCAAGATATCATCAAGATCATTGTAGTGTATATATTCTCTATTTTTACATGTAAATGTGGACTTAGTTCAAGTATTTTTTGCTTACATCATTAACTGGTCATCAGGTACAATCCTAAAGATATATCAGAAGCTTTATTTTGATACAAATTCATAAGAATCAAAACTTTTTTAAACATTTGCATTAGGTATCACCAATTATGTTCTGATACTTTTCTATCAAATCTGTTACTCTGAGCCTTTAGTCATACTAAAAGAATGCAGAAGTTGTTATAGGAAAAGTATTCTTCACTGAAACTAATGTTATTTAACTTTTAATCTAAGAATAAATTAGGTATTTTAAAAAATTTATAACTTGATATAAAGTGAGTTAAAATCATTAATAGAAAGCAGTATTAGGATTTTGTCAGCTATCTTCAGCTATTTCCAGTCTATATGTGTGATTTTATTTTTATACTTTTACCTTTTTTTATTTTTCTTATGGAATTCATCAAATGCAATGAAATTTAGAATAGTTGATCATAGCAATAAATAATTTTAAAATGCAGCACAAACACATCTTGAGCATTTTGTCAACTAGGCTTTCTTATGCAATAAGAATGCTGAATCAACATTTAGTACTAAATTCACTAAATTATCAATACTTTAAATACAAGAAAAAGTTGAAATGAAGAGAGGCTAAAAAGGGAGAAAGTAGTTTTAGTTCTTAACAAGAAACACTGTTTAGATGGAAAGTATAAATGCACTTTTATTTAAGGATATTTGATATATTTTATCGGTAAAATAATCAGTGGGTAATATTTTTTTCTCTGAACATTTAGTTTTAATGAGTCATAAAATTTTCTAAAGATTTTTAGAGAAGATATTTTGATTATACCAGCTGTTGCTTTTATTTTGGGTGTCTGGAGAAATGAGAGTGATTGCACCTGTCAAGTTTTGTATCTGATCTCTTTTGGACCATCACATTATGGCTAAAATGATTTCAGCATATTATTCGCCACCATAGTGAAGAACTCTTCTCTGAAAGTTAATCAGTTGTCTGAAAGCCTTTTCTGCTACTGATGGGGGAGAAAGGAAAGCTTTGTTTACCTCTGATGAGTTATGTTCTAAATCAGTTATCACTGTTCCCCTGCACCCAAGAGTTTCAGCAGTATCAGAGTCAACTTGTCTAAACACTGGCTCTCAGACTTTTTTTTTTTTATCAGAGGATCTTCTTTTTTCCACAGGGCTAGATTTCTTCACAATTAAAAAAATAAGAACTAGGGCTTTTTCTTGATTAAAGACCAGTTTAGATGGTATTCCCAAATGAAAACTAGTAATGTATTATCAAATGCCACATGTTTTAATTTTATTCTCACTGGATTCTCCTTTATTAAAACCATTTCTGCCTCTCACCTAGATGATGCACTGTGTATTTATAAGCATTTTATGACAATGTGCAAGTGAATTTCCTAACAGTGTCTAATTTTACTCAGTAGTTTCATAGTAATTACATAAAACTCTTTAACTGCAGAGTACTATAAAATTTTATATTAAATATTAATTAAAGTTCTTTATTAGTACCATTTCTAGCTGTGGCAAAGCACAGGTCTTACCATAGCTTACTTGTGATATCTCTTCACCACAGACTTCAATATATCATCTGAATAGTACATGTTTGCTGACAGAATATACCCAAATTAGGTCTTGACCTCACTTCTCCTTTCTTCATTTAAAAGGGAGAATATACATCATAGAGTTAATGGAAATAAATAAAATTATTTAAATAATACCAATGGCTCAATTAATACTGTCTGTTGAGAAATAAAATAATCTGGTAAAAATATAAACCATTGATAATGTAAAATGATGAGTCTACTTTGATCTTTTTTGTCTGTCTAGTTTCCCCTTATAAGAAAATTTGAGAAACTTTGACCTAAAAGATATAGCAGTATACTTCCTAACATTATATTGCTGGCTATACTAGTTAATACTTTGGCAGTATTATAGTTAATGTTGTTTATGCCATTAGTACTTACTAGGCTAAACACCTTTCTGAAACAAGTTGGTTTTGACCTAGAAGATAAGAAAACATGCTTAAGAAATGGCTAGAAGTGCTATTTATTGCCCTATGATAAGTGAAATGGCAAATCACTCTGATTCTTAAAGTTTCATATTAAAATTAGCTAGTTCCTACATACACATGTGCACGCATGTCCAGACACACACATCAGTAATCTATGTGAATAGCAATTTAAATTTGCTATTTAAATTGGGTCCAAAAAGATGTTGTATTAACAAGGTTATTCTAAAAATTATTCCATTAGAGTTTTCTTGATAACAAATAGGAAAATACATGTTTATACCTTGAATAAATTAGAATGTAGATTTTTATGTTTTTCAAAATGATTTTGTTTGAATGAAAACTAAATACTGCACTTGAGTCAATTCTTTTAACTTATTTTTCTTTATAACAGTTTGAAAAAATCTGTCTTAAAGTATTGTAACTTTTCTGAATTTTCAATAAAATATTATTTTGCTTGCAATTGACTTTTTAAATAAATTTGTCTTTTATAAGGTTAAATGACGTTGACAAATGTCATAAGCTGAAAATGGTACTAGTATAATATGCTAATAACATTTTAATCAGTTTTTATGGTTAATTCTTTGTCATGTTGGAAGTTGATATTATGTACCTCTAAGATTTAGGAGGAGAAGTTGATTTAAAATGAAAGGACACACTCAAAACCATGACCTGAACTTCCTACAGACTGATTGCAAGATGAGCAGTCTGCAAATGCTGCATCCATGATTTGATTTATCACCTTCTTAAGGTCAAGAATATGTATCCATCATTTTGTTTGCATTGCAAAATTGGAATAATACTTTTGGGAAGCATTATGAACCCCATATCAAAGACCATAAAGATATTTATACCTTTACTTTAGTAATTCTGCTCTAGTGAACTTAACATAAGGACATATCATAGTTCATATCATACAATAGACTCTGCCTAAAGGTGCATCTACAACATTGTTTTAATGGTGTAAAAGTGGAAACAACCTAAATGTTCGATAGTAAGATCATAAATTATGATATCTTAACCTAGAATACAATGAAGATTGTATTAATTATACTAAAGTTATACTGAAGACTAATAATTTGGGAAAGAAAAGTTACATGAAGTTAATTTTAATTGCAGCTCTGTAAAAATATACTTCTGGGCCAAGACAAGGAGATATGCAGAAAATGGAACCATAGTGTCAGGATAAAGAAATGGGTTTTACTATTTTTAAATGACTAGTCAAAGCAGGCCTGTGAAAGGAAGAAATGGAAATGTTTTGAGGAAGGCAACAGGGAGTTTACAAAGTCTTATTAGTAGTGCATGCTTCTGACAAGCAGCAGAAGGAACACAAAGACCAAAACAAAAAATGAGATGGGGATAGGACTAGGTACACAGAGATGTGAATGTATTGAAAAGCCCTATGGAATACTTGTAGGGGGAAAAAAATAAGGCTACTTTGTAAAATTAATTTTTTTTTAATGTAAAAGGTTTGAACAGTTGTTCTTAATAGATACACACATATACAAAATTTCACATATAGATTGATGGAGTTCAAGAGTAGAACAAGGAAGTAGGCAAAAAAACCAAAAAAACAAAAAGGCAGTGCAGAACTGAGCACTTCGGAAGATGGATCTGTAGTGTCTTATTTATCTTTGTAGCTCCAGCGCCCGGCAGTACTCCACAGGGCACTGAATAGGAACTTGAAAATC